TAAGCGATGGGGCGAACAACGTAAGTTTTTTTTGTGGTGGTGTATCTATTCTGCTCTCAGTTCTTGTTAAATAATTCGTAACAATCTGAATTTCGAGCATTATCCAGATTAAGTCGTACATCGAAAACAATTTTTATATCCACTAGCTAATATGAACCTTGATTCAGATATGGGTAAATTTGCAAAACAAGAAAATGGAGCCATGGATAGATGAAAGGGAAGTTTTTTGATGTATAAGCCAACCAAGACGAGCCTAATATGAACCTTGATTCAGATATGGGTAAATTTGCAAAACAAGAAAATGGAGCCATGGATAGATGAAAGGGAAGTTTTTTGATGTATAAGCCAATCAAGACGAGATGATATAAGTCAACATGATATTAAGATATGAAAGATTTAAAGGGAATATAGGATTAGGGGAATTAGAGAATAATGAAGATTCAGTTGGAATAGAATAATGCTGTGATTGAATTATGTTAGGTCCCAGTCAGAAGCCTATAAATTTAGATAAGATTTTTTCTTTTGGGTGAGAAAAAACCACAGATTTTTTGCAATTCAAAGATGAATTTTCATTTATGGGGAATGAAGTTTAAATACACAAAACTCAACTGTATTCCCTTCTAGCTAGGAAGTAGTTTACAGAAATTGAAAAGCAAAAAGATAAGATTTTGACTGATTCTACGCAACAGCTATACGATTTGCATACATTCCATTTCTTCACATTTTCTTTTTTATTCAGTCCTCTTCTGCATGTATTCTCCTGGTCCTTCCGGGCTTATCATCACCCCCCACTTTCACTTGAACTTTGTCCTCAAGGTGCAAACTTGGAAACATCTTCAATTCCCACCGAAAATCCTTACAATGAATCACAAAGTTAACGAAAATTGCAGCTTCTTTGTCTTCCCATTACAACTCCTGATCACTACATAATTGGATGGGTTGCAATGCTTGTTCAACCTGAAAAGCGACTCCCAAAATTTATATATATCTGTGTGTGTGTATATATATATAGAGGGAGAGAGAGAGAGAGAAAGAGAAAGAAACAGAGCTTGTTCAACTCTGATAAGTGACTCCCACAATTTATAGATATATGTGTATATATATATATATTGAGAGAGAGAGAGAGAGGGAGAGACACAAAGAGAGTTTTACAAAAGGTGCGACTCCATGTAAGTACCAAATCGTCTTCTTTCTCTTCTGTTTCTCCCTCTTTCCACCATTTCTTTCTTTTCTTTTCTTTTTTTTATAAATATAATACTGAAATTTGTTAATAGAGCACCATCTAATTTCAAGTCCTCAAATAACAAGACAAATCCTGACAAATGATAAATACCCACAAAATCAAAACAACTCATTTACTACTTTACCAACCCAGTCCCTTTCTGGCCACAAGTTTGTTTACCTTTGCAAAACTCTGCAAGCTTCTCTGTCTCTGGCATCACACCTTTCACCGCTTCATGACCACAGAAGCTCTGTGCACATTTCGCCAGACCAGGCATCTCTGACTCATTAATCAACTTAATCCTTAAGCTTTCTGCATCACTCTCAGCCAACCTAGAAAGCATCCCAACGCAATGTCAAGGTACCCAATTTCATCTTCCCCGAATAAAGCCTTCCCTTTGCTCATCTTCCCAAATGCTTCTTCTAACAGCACTAACCCTTCTTCAAATTGCCCAATTGTCGCCTTCTGCGCTTCTTCTTCTTCGGCAAAACCAAGTCCTTTCAATGATGGGAACCATAGATCGCCTTCTTTATCTTCCGTTTCCACCTTTTCCTTTTTTTTTTGGGTATCGCGGGAGCACAAAGACAGCAAATAAGACAACTGCAAAAAAGAAGGTTCTGCTGCACGCAGTTGATGCTGGTCGTCTCCGTTGTCCTTTTTTTATATCCCTTTTGACGTCATACCATCTTCCTTCCTCCAGTAGCTGTATCATCTGAATGAGCCCACTACAGTTTAACTTGAACAGACCACAAGTGGAGTTTATATTGTTGGAATAGAAGGGGAACCTCATCTTTCCAAGCTCGTCACAGTGGAAATCAAGTGTACAATTTGAACCTCTTTCTTCCTTGGCAGTGTACAATCATTCTGAATGTTTTGGGCAAGTATGTTCTGCAATTCGACTGCCGGTGATGGTACTGTGTAGGTCGCCATTTGCATGAGCGGTTTCAGATCATTGCAGTAGGTTCGCGTCTGGCTAGGTCGGTTTATAATATTGCTGCTGGAGCCCTCTTTGTTTGTCGTCAGAGTGTTCGCAAGTCGCTGGAGGCTATCTTCAATCTGATGGACCTTCTCGGCGAACCCGATCTCCATTCGGCTCAAATGGTTCTGTATCCCTTCCAGACTGATTTTTAGTTTTTCTATTCTTTTTTCCTCGGTAACCATGGGTCTAATACTAATGTTAGGTTCCAGTCAAAAGCTTATAAATTTAGATAAAATTTTGTCTTTTAGGTGAGAAGAAACCACATATTTTTTTGCAATTCAAAGATGAATTTTTATTGCTGGGCAATGAAATTTAAATACACAAAACTCAACTGCTATTCCCGACTGGCTAGGGAGCAGTTTACAGAAATTGAAAAACAAAAAGATAAGATTTTGACTGATTATATGCAATGACTATACAATCTGCGTCCATTCCATTTATTCACGTTTTCTTTTTTATTCATTCCTCTTCTGCACGTGCTCTCCTGGTCCTTTGGGGCTTATCAAACTATGTCTACATGATAATATTTAGTTCACAATTGGTAATGACTTATTATATTTTCGTTGTAATGTTCGGTTCGGGTAAGGAACTATTTGGTTCCTGATCCCTGGTTTTGATTTTGATTGATATATTTGCAGTTTTTGCTTCTGTGCATGTAGTCTTTATATGAATGTTCATGGAATCTCCTATGGTCTATCAAACCCTACGCAATTTCTAAAAGTATATCCCCCCAAAAAATGGATAAACAAAAGTCCTATTTCATTAATTTTATTCCATGCAAAAGGTTAACATTGTGTTGAAATTTCTCCTCAAAAAGAACACTCTCCCCCTCCACACCAAAAAAAAAAAAGAAAAGAAAAGAAAAGAAAGCATCATATTGAAATTTCTCCTTTCCTTTAAAAAAAAATAGTTCTCGATCTTCAATAAATCTATTTCAACAAGAACTATGAGTGAAAAATCAAACGATTTCTTTTTAAGCTAGTACTCTTTTATTAGCTTTTCATCCTTGTTAATGATAATGTGAACAAATCCAGAGAAACCAGCTCATTGCCAATCTTTGTGCAAGTATTTAGACAACATATTATAAAGGGCATCTATCTCAGGTGTTCCTGAACTTTAATTTCTCGCTTCTTTACTTCTCAAGTTGAGTTCATAAACATGACCAAAATAGATTGAGTAAATGTAGAAAAAGTCCCCTTTTTTTCTTAAAAAAATTCATTATTTTGTTGACAATTAGCAGGTGTTATTGTTCAGTTTCACATATTTTTCTGATGCTTCGGAGTTGTTTTTTTGAATCATATGCATTTTGCAGTGGTTTCTCACTCAAATTATTTGAAATGCTATCCTAGGTGTTTGGGATGGAGAAACCAAACCTGGTTGATTTGACGAGATTTTTGCTCAGTTATCTAAGCAATCTCTCTCCACCAGACACAGATAGTCTCTGGAATAAGGAACTTGTCGAGTCATCTGTCCGGAATCTCATAAGTGAGTTGGCAAAACTGAGCTGTGGAGTTCCAGAGTCGAACTATTCTGGATCTGTACAGACACCATTCCCGAATAGAAATGGACAAACACTACGATCCTTTGGTCAAAACATTGAAATGAAAAGGGGTGATTGGTACTGTCCAAGGTAGAATCTTGAGTTTCATTTCTTACTCATTTCCTCTGCGTTCTGCTACATGGATTATATTTTCTGGGCCATGCATCCCTTTGGGGCCCTTTAGTATGTTCTTTTTAAATAAAAAAAGACAATTCTCTGGTTCGATTGGGTTGAATGTCGTGGTATTTCACTGAAATGGATGTAAGCATGTATTAGAAAAGTTTTTCATTTATTTGTTGCAAGCATATGATTTCTTCCTCAAATAATATCATTTTACTGTTAATTGTATTGAGCAGGTGTAAATTTATGAACTTTGCAAGAAATATGAAATGTCTTGAATGTGAGGAAGCACGGCCAAAGAGACAGCTGACTGGTGGGGAATGGGAGTGTCCTCAGTGAGCATCTTTTCTCTTGTTTACCACTTTTTTTTCTCGATGTTGGTAGATCTGTCATTATTGGCAGTGGCAAAGGGTGAGTTTCAACCTCTAACTTTTCCCATTTTCAGATGTGATTTCTTTAATTATGGGAGAAACAAAGTATGCCTAAGGTGTGACTGCAAGCGGCCTGGAGATGTCTCGATTGGTACTACCAGCTTCAGGTCTAGCTTAGGATTTGGGGATGAGAATAATGCAAGTGGGGTTGATCTCAGTAGCAGGTTGGCTGCAAATGAAGAAAAGGCACAACGGTGGTTTAGTAAGGTTTCTCAGCTAAACGGTACTTCCAACATGAACAATTCCATAGCAGATGAAGATTTTCCCGAAATTATGCCATTAAGGAAAGGGGTGAACAGATTTGTTGTAAGCACTAGGAAGACACCACTAGAGAGGAGGTTAGCTAATGCTCAGTACCAAAGAAACTTGGGTGATGACAACACAGCTGAGGGTACAAATAGTCAGGGAGATAATGTAAATGAGACCTGAAGATGAAGTTAGCCAGACTTTAGATGAGATTCTGGTAGCGCATCTGCTTCAGGACGAAATGCTGTCACAGACAGCGCTTCTGTTTCTAATTCAGATTCTCAACAATTTGTTTCCCACAATGGAAGCAATTCGAACTATGTTCCTTTCGTGCCACTGCCAGCAGATATGTTTGCCAAGAAACCTGAGAATTCAAAGACAGAGGAGGCTAAAAAGGAAACACCATTGTCAGACAATTCCATATCTGTTGCTGCTAAGATTGGTGGGCAAACAGCTGCTATGACAGAAAGCAAAAGGGATGTTAATTCAGGGGACAATTTGCAGCCATCAGCAACACCAGCAAACCAAAATGAGGAGAAAGATGAGAAAGAACAAGCTCAAAAATCTGAGAGATGGTTTAAGAGGGTCGCAGAGCTGCATAATGTAACAGATCTGGCCTCTGCAATTTCGGATGAAGACTTCCCTGAGATAATGCCAATGCGTAAAGGAGAGAACCGCTTTGTAGTTAGCAAAAAGAAAGATTGGTCTTTGACTTCTCCAGCATACAAAAGGCGAATGGCCATGGAGCAAGGAGGCAATTCCAATTTTGTCCCCTTTGTTCCATTCCCACCTGACTACTTTGCTAAAAAGGACAAAGAGCTGCCAGAATCTGCTGATTCACCTTCGAAAGCAGTTGATGAAACATCAAACTCTGCAATACCTGACAAGTTGAGTGAGGCTACACATGGTCCACCTTGCAGAGATGGTGTGCAACAAATGGGAAGTCAAGGGACTGGTTCTGGCAGCTGGAAGATGCAACCTTCTGAAATAAGCTTAAATCAGAATATGAAGGGAACATATGACTCACAAACCAGAGGAAATTTGACCCAGAGTTCTTTCAATCTCCAAACAAGTGGCAGTAGTCGTTGGAGCCGAGAGTACTCTGAGAATGGAAATATGAACGAGATTACACATACGGCAGAGAGATCAAGTAGCAACAGTGGATATATCCAGAAAGAAGGCAGAGAAGAAATGGCAAATTCGGTAGGAAATCCTCCACAACCATCGGAAACAGAGAATATTAGGAATACATGGTCTGGGAAGAGCTTGGAGGGTTCAGCAGTGAAGGAACCGGATCCTTTAGACATGTCAGAGGAGGCAAAAGCAGAGAGATGGTTCAGGCGGGTTGCCCAGATCAAGGACATATCAGAACTAAGCCAGATCCCTGATGAAGATTTCCCTTCAATAATGCCAATGCGAAAAGGTGTCAATAGGTTTGTTGTAAGCAAGAGGAAAACACCATTGGAGAGAAGGTTAACATCACAACAATATCGAAGAAACCTTCCAATTGTGAGCTCGGATCCAGCGAACAAGCAAAATGACAGTAATAGCTAAACAGGCGAAAATAGACCCAAATTACGGTATAATTTCTTTATTTTGTTGCAAAATTTTTGTTCGGCATATATTATTTGCGGAGACAAATAATCATTGCAAAAATATCAACTCTGTATCATATATAGTTCATAATTTTAGCTAAATATCCGTTTTGTCTAATGTTGTTTAGTTAAAAACTAGATTGAATTAGGTTGGTTTTGTTAGATATGGTTCCAACACAAGGTTTAGTGACTTCCTCGTTTTTGTTTATTAGTAAATCCTTAATATAGTAAAGTATCATACAAATAATTACTCATTTTATATCCCCATTACTTAATTAATTAATATATAATTTAAAAAAAAAATTATTATGAAATTAGATTCATATTTTTAGTAGAGATGTTATTATATATTTAATAACAGTTAATTGGAAAAGAAAAATCTGTGTTGTATGATATAAATATTGAAAAAATAAAAAAAGATAAAAAAATTTAAATGAATATATACTGAAATTAAAAAAAAAAAACAAGAAGAAGAAGAAATTAATAGTAATATTTTAGAACTCGAAAGTGAAACCAGTTTTCTTAAAAAGAAAATAAAGAAAAATAAAAACCAGTTCTTCACTTACCCTTCGTTCTTTTTAATTAAGAGTTCTCTCTCTTTTTCCCATAGTAAATCGTAACCAGATCAGCGATGGTGACGCCCAACCCCCAGCAGATCCAACAATTCCTCTCCTCCGTCCTCTCCCAACGAGGCCCTTCAGCTCTCCCCTACGCAGAAAGCAGCAAGTATCAAATCCGCAAGCACCTTCTCGACCTAATCGCAGTCTACCCTTCTCTCGAACCCAAAACTTCCACCTTTACCCACAACGATGGCCGCACTGTCAACCTTCTTCAAGCCGATGGCACCATTCCCATGCCCTTCCAGGGAGTCACCTACAATATACCCATAATCATTTGGCTCCTCGATACCTACCCTATTCACCCTCCTTGCGTTTATCTCAATCCAACTCGCGATATGATCATCAAACGCCCACATCCTTATGTTTCTCCCTCTGGTCTCGTCTCCATTCCTTATCTCCAGAATTGGGTCCCGCCTTCATCCAACCTCCTCGATCTCGCCCGTAATCTCTCCGCCGCTTTCTCACGCAATCCACCTCTCTATTCCCAGCGCCGACCACAGACTCCTCCCGCTTTCACCCCTTCCTCTTCTGGGTATGGATCTGTTGAGCAATCCCCTTCTCCCGCGCGTCCTCCTCATGCTCTTGTTCAGCAGCCTCCCAGGGTTTTTCCGCCGTCGCCGTACGGCGCCGGGAGGATTCAGCAGCAGCAGCAGCAGCATCATCATCATGCGACGGATGACGCGGCGGAGGTGTACAGGAGGAACGCAATGAATAAAATTGTGAATATGGCGCATGGGGACCTGGTGGCAATGAGGAAGGCGAGGGAGGCTGAAACAGAGGGGTTATTGAGCGCGCAGGCTGCCTTGAAGACAAGAGAGGAAGAAATCAACAAAGGGTTGAAGGAGATGCAGGATGAGAAGGAAGGATTAGAGCAGCAGCTGCAGCTGGTGTTGATGAACACCGATGTGTTGGAGGCTTGGGTAAAGGAAAACGAGGGCAAAACCAAGAATTTTGGCGATATGAGTGTGGAAGATAACGCTTTTGAGTGCATGGACACTTTGTCAAAGCAGATGTTGGACTGTACAGCCGCTGATTTAGCTATAGAGGATGTGGTGTATTCATTGGACAAGGCTGTTCAGGAAGGGGCGGTGCCCTTTGATCAGTACTTGAGGAATGTGAGGTTGTTGTCCAGAGAACAGTTCTTCCATCGGGCTACAGCTGCTAAAGTTAGGGCCGCCCAGATGCAGGCGCAGGTTGCTGTCATGGCTTCTAGGTCACACCATTATGGTTCATAAAGGTTCATGCTTTTGGGCGTGTGATATATAGGGTAAGGTTAGCCCCGTGAAAATTTGCAACTTTCATTGTTTTTTTTTTTGAATGGTACAGTTCTTTTTTTTTTTTTCTTTCATTATATAAATGATCAATTTTGCTATGTATCATGCATCTGTATTGAAGTAGGTGCTGCAACTGGGAACATTTGCTATATATATGCATATATAAATCCTAATCCTGGGTGTTTAAGGTCGATTTGCTTAATGAATTTTTTGTTGTAGTCTTATTTACTCCAAAGTGTCCATGTCAAATCTGTTTCTATTAATTACCCTGGTTGTTTAGTGCAATCAGAATCTGCAAGGAGTTGTCTTTGTTATTCCTATTACTATTAGCTCGATTTGTTGTACCTATAATCTTCTTACACTCATATAATGTAATTACTTATTGTTTTCTTTAAGGAGATTTGGAATATGCTAATGATGATTGATTTATCCTTTTGATGGTTAATGCACTCATCTTCTGCTATTCTTTCACCTTCATTGATCAAGCCATAGCTTGTGTTTCTTTTCCTAGCTGATTTAACTATCCACATAAGTTTGCCTGTCACCTAGTTTGATGGACTTAGCTTCTGTACAGAAAAATATCTTGGTTCACTTGTTGATTTTTTAGCTGACTTGAGTTTATGACGGTTGCTATTGCAGCATGTTTGTGTGTTAGCTATTCAGAGATGTGCTTTGTTTGATAGTTCGAGTGCCAGAGTAGCTCTTCATCGTTTTGGTGCTTGGCTGGTTGCCTGGGGTTTACAGGCAAATCCAGCTTTTTACAATGTTTCCCAGAAAGTAGGATGTCTATATAATTTATCAGCTCACATGCTCCTTGTTCCTAATTTGCCACCATATTGTACTATAATTCTTGGTATAGTTCAAAATATTAATTTCAGTATGTTTGGAATAAATAAATTCTTTAAAAATCTATAAAATTTCATTTGCAAATTCACTTCTAAGTTAGAATTGTTTGAGATTAGGGAGTTCAACTTGAAACTCTTTCCATATGGAATTGAAGAAGTGCATAATTTCATTAAATTTGATGGAAGTTGGAACGTAGTTGATCTGCACTCTTGTCTTGTTTTTCCAAATGTAGTGTTTCAGTTCAATGGATAATATTTTAAAATTTTGTTATCTATCTCGAGCAAGAAAAACTAATTTTGATTTATTGTTCAATTCATTTACATTTTTATGATCTATCTCGAGCAAAAAAAAACTAATTTTGATTTATTGTTAAATTCATTTACAAGTGATGATGCTATTGCTGAGCATAATGATTTAGATAGGGAATATGAAGTTGTTGATGAGTCAGATGTTCAGTTTCAATGACTCTGCCTCCGATGGTAACTGTGGTGGAGTCTTGAGTGATGAGACGAAAATACTATTGATGGTAGTATAAGAGTGAGAGTAAAAACTACTAGGCCATAGAATATAAAGAATACAGCAGAAGCTTGGGTCATATAGCAGAGATAAGAATCATGGGTTGTACATGATCTGAAGATATTTAATGTTAATCAACTGGAGAATATATATATATATATATATATGTATATATAAGGGAGATACATGCAGTTGATGATCCTTATCTGATGTAATCTTGGAGGGGAAGGGGAAATGATGATGGGTATCCTTGTGTTATTATTCTCTTTGAAGTGCTTGGTGATCATTTACCCGGAACTCCATTGTAGCTATATCATCAGATGTAGTTCACTGAATGAACTCAAACTATTTGTTTTCTTATTTATACCCTCCTCATGCAGAGAGCAGGTCGTTGAACCAGAAAGAACGAGATTGTGAGGTGAAGTTCTAGAATGTCATGTTACATTGGAATGGTGAAAATAAAGCTTCATTCTCTTCTGTACAATTAATTACTTGTTTTGCTTGCTTAGTTTGGCCGGTTATTGATAAACCTGTGCAGGGAATAGCCTCTCTGGCTCTGCTGCATATGGCTAGCTTCTTCTCCACCAGGCCATATCCATAGTCCTCAACTCATCTCTTCTCTTCCATTTCAATAATAATAAAAATAATAATGTATGGTTTAAAGAGGAAATACACGACAAATCTGTGAAAATTAAAAAGGCAAGGAAGAGAATTCGGGGGTTTGATTTGTGCTAAAATAATTACTTCAATACATCCCCTTAAAATATTAAAAAAAATTTCTTGATGTTAAAGTATATATAGACATTTAAATTTTATACCAAATATATAATTAATTAGTTAAAAGACAAATTAATTGACTGAACTTGGTGCGTATTTATATGAGATTGAGTCAGAATAAAATAAAAATATTGAGTCTGATTATTTTGACAAGTTTGGTCTTGTTCTCTGATGTCAATTTATTTATTAAATATGTTCTAATGAGTTAATTTAAAGGTTATATATTCGAGTAACTGAAGTGGAGTTTGCAAGAGAGGGTTTACCATGGAGTTACCAAAGCTTATGGTCTCCAAGTGGTAAGGTTGATGATTCTGCGTAGTTTACAAGTTGAATGGGATTTTTAACCGGTGATAAAACATACTTCAATCACGCTTAACCCTAAAGTCTGAACTTGATTTATTTCTTAATAACATTTTTGAAGACAAATTTTTTTTCATTCCGTTAGCTTTGCGTGAAACTTCAAGAAATTATAATATGCTTGCGCACGATTTTACTATTCCCCATGAGAGTTGTAACTCCAGTAATCTCCTTATTTTGTGGCTCTTTAATAGTGCAGTACATATATGTATACTTTGAATTGAAAGCGATCTTTCCCTCTAAAAAAAAATTTCTTTGTAATTTTTCTTTTGTATTTAGCATTCTTGATTCTTCTTCCTTTGTTTCCTGCTGCCTAGTCTTCCTGCATCAAGACAACAACAATCAATCATTTTGCTTCTCTGAAAAAAAAAAAATCAATTTTTATATAATATATAATCGTCTTGTTTGACTTGCTCCGCCTCCATCACCTTCTCCTCTCCGTATATTTTTTCTTGGAGCTTCGTGGCCTCATATTACTCTTATCTTCCCAAACTGAATTTCCATGCTTACTGTATCTTTCTTCCCCGGAAAATGGGTGAGAAAATGGGCCAGAAGCATCCATTATGCTCTTACTCTCATCGTCTTCCTTTTCCTTGACCTCCTCGACACTATTCTTTGTGTGGTGTGCCATTACCTTGATGAGTTCTTTGAAGGGAAAACCTCTCCTTGTTACTGTGCAGGAGAGGGACAGCAAGGAAACAATGTGATTGGCGTTTTGGGTATTGATGGAGAGATTCAGGTGTCAGAGAGTTTGTATAGAAGGAAGAATCCTTTCAGGGAAACGGGTTTTCTTGGTTTTCCGAGACAATTTTTGGATTCCAAGAAAAAAGGAATTTGTGATGGTGCGGTGATGAACAGGTGGTCTGATTGTGGGTGTGAATCTTGTGTTTCTTGGATAAACTGTAGGGATCACAAGCTCCATGTTGAGGTTAGAGAGACCTCTTCTCAAGGTAATTTGAGAAATCATTCTGTGTGTTTGTTTTATGTTTTCAATGAACTTTCTGCCATCTTGTTATTGTGATAGGATTAGTTTGTTTGGATACTGAGAAAATGCATGTTAGAAAGTTTTCTTTTTCTTTTCTGGGTTTTCATGTAAGCAAGCATCAATGCATGAGTTGTTACTTTTATGTTTTTGAACAGGGCGGATTGAGGAAAATTGTAAAGAAAAACCAACAGAAAATGTGATTTTCATTCATGGATTCCTTTCTTCTTCCTCATTTTGGACAGAAAGTGTGTTGCAACACCTGTCTGAATTTAAAAAGGGGAAGTACAAGTTGTTCTCTGTTGATCTTTTGGGGTTTGGAAGAAGCCCAAAGCCAAGGGAGTGTTTTTATACTTTGAGAGATCATGTAGAGATGATTGAGAAATCAGTGATTCTCCCTTTTAATATCAATCATTTTCACTTGGTTGCTCACTCCATGGGCTGTATCATTGCACTGGCCTTGGCTGCAAAGTATCCCAAATATGCCAGATCACTTACTCTCGTATCTCCTGTAAGTACCACATAATATATAATATCTCTGCAAGCTTCCTGCATCTCATATCAGTCCTTATATATCTATAATCCGACAACCCCAAAGATTATACGTGTATCAATATATGGGTTCATGTGTTAATATTACATAATGGGAAAATCTGCAATATCTTTATGGTAGCTAGTAATTTCTAGTATTTGGACAAATCCAATTTTTGTAATCTTTCAGTGAACCTCCTTTTCTCTGTGACGATTTTATCAAACAGGAAGTTTTGTTTGTTGCTTGTTTAATGTTTTATCTGCTTTACAGATTATCAACTTGTTTTAATGAATTTTCACTTTTAGCCCATCTTCCCTTCATCAAAAGATGGAGCAAGTTTAGCAGCTTTAGAAAAGCTTGCTGAGAAGAAGTTATGGCCACCATTAGCCTTTGGTTCATCAGTTATGTCATGGTATGAACATATTGGTCGGTGTATCTGCTTTCTCGTTTGTCGAAACCACAGGACCTGGGAGAGGATTCTGAAGCTACTTACCCCCAATAGGTAGCAATATCGCACTCTTAACTTCAGCCTGCAGATGAAGTCCTCCTATTCTCTATACTACTGAGCTGCTAATATAGTATTTCTCTTAGTAATCTTTTAACGTAATGCGTACACTAATCACCCAACATTATATCTTGACATTAGCCTGCATACGAAGTTCTCCTATCCTCTGTACTTTGAGCTGCTAGTATAGTGTCCCGGAAGCATCATGTCTCATGGTAATCTTTTAAAGTAATGTGTATGCTAATCACCCAACATTATATCTTACTACACACGACATTGAATACTTTGGAGGCTCCGAAACACCTAGAAATTTCCAGTTATAGTTCTAGATATATTGGTCTTCCTCTTAAATAGAAGAATGAGCTATGCTATCTAGACCAGAGATCTATATGTAGTAAACAAGTTGTTCTCAATTTGTTCTTTTTTTTGGCAATTTCAGGCATCTGCATTTCATGATTATGGACTTGACCAGGCATACCCATCACTCAGCTTGGCACAGCATGCATAATGTGATATGTGGAGGAGCCAAATTTACAGATGGGTATCTGGCAATGTTGATAAAATATGGGGTTAAAATTTGCGTAGTTCAAGGTGATGAAGACCCTGTTGTGCCCTCAGAGTGTTGGAATTACATCAAGAAGAAATATCCAGATGTGGAGGTCAATATGGTTGCAAAAGCTGACCATACAAGTGTGGTGTTTGGTAGGGAGAAGGATTTAATTCAGAATCTGGATAAGTTGTGGATAAAATCTGCAGCAGATACCACAAGGACATAATCTCTGGAAGTTTGGGACCTTCTTCTGATTTCTTTGATTGCCTTGCTACTTTTTCTTCTACCGGTAAGAACTATAATTGTGCAAGTAAGATTGAAAATTTAATTCCTCTCTGATTATATGATTAAATGTGGATGGAGCAAACATTACAATTGATTTGTAAATGAAATTTTCTTGTAAACATTGTGAATGAAATAGTTTTATCAAACATAGCCAAACCCATCATAACTCCAAACAACAGGCCACCATTTTAGAATGTAGACTTCTATGGACACCATTTGAGAATCATCAAAATGAAGCTCCCCAGCCATAAACAAAAGGGCAGGGTTATTGAAGAAATGTTGCAGGAAAAAATCAAGTGGATGTCGTTTTTTTGCCAGCCAAATCGATCAAATCCGTAGTTCCAAATAAGGGTGACAAGATGTGAGCTATGCGAGAAGGTGTAGTCAAATTATCCGGTTATAACTTCTTATTAGATTAGATCACATTTTAAATACGGTAGATCAACTCCTATCTATTGTATATTTATATTGTTATTGTAATAAAAATCAGCTCTTATAGCAAAATCATATAATATATATATATATATGATTATGGCCAATGTAATTTTTATAAGAATTTTAAGTTAGGTTGAGTTTAGTTTAGTTTAGTTTTCAAAAGAAAATACACCGAAGACATTGTAATATTTGGTAATAGTCTGTATACAGATTCTATTTAGTTAGTAATAGTCTATACATATATCCTATGGGAATGTCAAACATGTTTAATTACATACCATATGATGTAAAACTATATATATACACCCATGATGCTAATTAATTAAAGATCTACTTAACGTCTGTGACGGAGATAAGATCAGTAGGACCCACTTTCTTCCTTAAACCGGACGTCAACTTAACAGCGTCAATTCCGTCTCCAATTGCCACCACTTTGTCTTTCTCCTCCCCTTCCAATCCCACATAAGTAACTCCTGCAGTTATTTACCAATTAATCATCTTCTCCTTTCAATATTTACTTCATCTATAATACAGCAAGTACATATATATATATATATATATATATACATATATGTACACATACACATGCATTATTGCTTGTGATTAGTATGTACGTTAATGTTATTTGATATAATTAACTAATCTTTACTTCAATAGTTAATATTTTTAGAAAGAATTATAAGTTTGAATTAAACTATATTATTGTATGTGTTTACAGGAGATGTATTTTGTAATTAATAAAATATATAAATTATATAAAAAATTATGATAAGTAATATATATATATATATATGAATTAATTACCGTGTGTTCCGGCGGCCACCTGGAGCGCCTTAGTCCGGCATTTCTGGCAGTGCATTGTCACCTTCACCACAATCTTCTGCTCGTATATGTATATATCTACGTTAATATCACTACTAATAAACGGGTAATATATTATCATGTATAATAACGTATACATTCATTTTCTTGAATGTACTTGTGTGTGTATATATATATATATATGTAAGAAAAAAAAAAAAGAAGAATATACCTTGGCCATTTTGTTTCTTTGTAGTTAACTTTCTCAACTCAAACCAGGAAATGAACCTTGTTGCTGTTGCTTCTTGAGAGATCAGGTATGTATGTATATATATGTGTGTGTGTACGTACGTGTATTTATATACATATATATATATATATATACGTACAAGTTTGACGGCGACCGAGTATGGGTTGAATTTAACACGGTAGTTCTGATCGATTCACATGGTAATTCAAGTCCTCCGAGTCAATCACGCGTAACTTGCGACCCAAGACAGCATTTTCAATCCCACAACTAATTCTTCAAACCATAAGTGTATATTTTGAATAGTTTCATAAATTTAGTACAATTTATGAAATTGTAACACCCAAGTGTTTTTTTTTTTCCCTTATTTTATCTTATTATTTTTTATTTTTATTTATTTGAATTTTTTTTTTATTTTAATTTAATTTAATTTAATTTAATTTAATAAAAATAAAAATAATAATAATGATAAAATTAAGTAAAAATATTATTTGAATTTAATTGAAATTGATTTTGGGAAAAAAAGGGGTGAAAATTTAGATTATGGGGGTGTTTTTGAAAAGAAAATCGGAAATCGGGGGTCAAAACGCAATTTAGAAAAGTTGTGCCACGTCAGCACCCACATCGGCGGTCCGGTCAGCAGCCCCGGCCAACCTGGACACGCCGCTGGTTTGTATGTTTGTGTGTGATTTGATGATGGTGACTGAGGAAAAAAAAAAGAATAAAAGGTTGCGTGAATTGATAAATGGATAATGTAGATAGCCTGAGTAGATATCCTGGGAGATGGTGGACGGACCGCCTCCGTAGGGAACCCTACCGAGAACGTGGTCTCTCATACCGGACGGGGTATGGAGACCTTCTGTGTTTTGGCGCCCATACCGGACGGGGTATGGGGACGGCCCGTTTCACCCTTATACCAGACGGGGTATTGAGGTTCATGGTTTTGGTGCCCATACCGGACGGGGTATGGGGACGGCTCTGGAATCAGGTTATAAATGTTAAGGATTCACGGGTAGCGGGACCCCTATGGATACTAGTAGGCTGGTAAATAAGGAAAATGTGTTGTTTAATGATTGAAATGCAAAGCTGTGGTAAGTATTATGTTATACAGTTCATATGATTTCATGATGATGATAAGGTTATTGCTTTAATATGTTGTTTTAGGGATCTCACCGAGGTAAGTGGACAGTAAATGATTTTATTATTGATAAAAGAATTTGATATAAATTATGCTCTATTGGTTTTTTTGTGTTTTCTACCCACCTTTACCTCCGTGGCGGTGAGATAGTGTGATGTCTTTACTGGGCTGGTGTAGCTCATTCCTTATTTAACCATTTCAGATCAGGAAGACATTGTTCTCGAGCCTGTTCCGCAGGAAGACGGCGAAGGGGACGCCTAAAGACTCCGTAGTTATATTTATAGTCCTTATTTCGAGTATCTTTTTTAGTTAGTTTGTTCTTTTATATTTTGAGCACGTTTTTAGTTTTTTGTGTAAGGGATGTTAATTAAAATTTTTATTACGCTTCCGCATTTGACATTTTTAATACACATATTTCATTCTAAATTTCCAGGATTGTTACTGGATTACTGAAGAAATGAAATGAGCACACAACTTTTACGAAAAATAAATCAAGTGAGTAATGTTTTTTAACCAACAAAATCAATCACACGATAGTACCAAATAAGGGTGACAAGATATGAGCTCCATGAGGAGTTGTAGCTAAATTATTCATTTATAACTCTAATAATTTTTTACAATTTTATATGATTTATATAGATGATATATTAAATATTAGATATCAGCTACTATCAATATAACGACTCCAGAAATACCCAAAGGAAATAAATTATAAATTAAGTGCGGAAGCGTAATAAATGTTCAAGGTTTACATTCTTTACACAATAATTTAAAGAACCAAACAGGGTTACGAAATTTAGTCTTTAAAAAAAAAGAAATAAAGAAATAAATGAAAAATAAAGAAAACTAGCATCTACTCGCAATCCTCTTGCGGTTCGGGCTCTAGAACTTGGCCATCTTGATCTGAAATGGTTAATAAGGAATGAACTATACTATCCCAGTAAGGACATCACACTATAACCGACACAGAACTAAAATTTGGTAGAAAATCAAAAACCACTAATGGAGCACTAAATTTAGTAAATTCGTTTATTAATCATAAAACTATTTACCGTCCACTTATCGTAGTGAAATTTATAAAAACAACCTATACAGACAATAATATTATACAGATAATGATTTCATGTATAATCAGCAACATAGCACATTAAAATTCTATATCCATCTTCAATAAATCAAACAATAACTGTCACTCTTTTTACCAGCATGCTGGTATCTATAGGAGTTCATAAGGATGTCCTCGCTACATGTGAACCATTTCCTTTAACATTATTCATTATAGGCCACTCCCATAGCCCATTCGGTATGAGATCCAAATTACAAAATCTCAATACCCTGTCTGGTATGAGGGTGAAGCGGGCCGTCCCCATACCCCGTCCGTTATAAGCGCCAAATTACCAAGTCTCAATACCCCGTCCGACATAAGACAATGTTCATGGTAAGGTTCCCTATGTACGTGGTTCGTCCACCATCTCTCAGGATATCTAGTAAGGCTGTTGTTTTATCCATTCACTTAATCACACAATTTTTACCGTTGAACCTTCATTTTTCCGAATTTAGCCGTAAACATATAGAATAAACCATATATGCATTCAAAGCTATAAAATAAATTAATAAGATACCATCATGCATATAAACTGTAAAAACAATTAACAAACAATAGTAGATAATTTTCGATTCTAACTCTATTAGAAATCCGTAATTAATTATGCACATTTTCTAAATTCACACAAACTACTGGATTATTATTTATTTAGACTTCAATTCTATGATATAGAATAGGGTGAGAGATCCTTACTCGATTTGATACCCGAAAAACTAAACTGTTCGACTGTGCCTACTGGCGATTCTCAAGTTCTCTGAATTTTTTTTAGAATTAAAACACGCTAATAGTACCTACAAATGTCCCAAACAAACCTAAAATCAGTCTCAGGGCCCACTTGGCCAATTTTGGAATTTTGACACGGCGGCTTTGCCGTGCTCCAGCGACAGCGCCGCCACTCGCGGCAGTAGTCCACCTCGGGTCGGCTGTTTTTGGCCATTTTTGAGTGAATTTGACTGATTTTACATCAGTTCCTATGAGAAAATATGTTAAAGAGCATCGGTTGACCCAAAAATACAAAAAACTGAAACTTACCGACGGTGGGGCGCTCCGGTGTGGCGCTTCCTCCAGCTCATGGTGCGGTTGGGTGTTTTGCTCCGGTCAGCCTGTACAGAAGGACACGATGATCACAACGGTACAAAAATTACACATAATAGGAATCGGAAAGGGTCTCATCGAAGGCATTTTGTGAAATTTCTCGCGGCGGCACCGCCGGGCTTTGCCTGTGTTTTTCGGCCAATTAGTTGGTTCTTTTACTCCGATTTGGCCATGAGTGTGTTTAGAATTGAATTTCGAGCAAAAAATTTTTTTTTTACCTTTTTTGATGGTCAAAAGGGCTCCAGTACGGCGGCGGGTGGCGGCGGTCTCCTTCCCGGTGGCTGGGTCTTCTTCTCCGGCGGGGGGGTCTGACAGCTGAGGTTAGGGTTTGGTGTGGATGGGGGTTATTCATATCCATATGCTTTTGATCTGGGCCATCCATCGCATTTGATCTGGACCGTCTGATCGCGATTAAATAGGGAGTGAATCAGTATCATTCATCGCGATCCAATCTGGATTATCTATCACGATTTAATTTGGGCTGTTCGATCGCGTTCAAATTTGACTGTTTGATTGCGTTTGGGAAAGGAATGCATCTGGGCTGTCCATGCGTGCGGGAACGGATCTGAACGATTCAATCGCGGGCATACGGATCGCCTGCGTGGCACTGCATCAGCGTCCGTTACCACGCGGAACATCCTGATTCATTGGGCCTGCTGACCGGGCATCTGACATGGTAAAACTTTTTTAAATTACATTTTGACCTTCGGTTTTCGATTTTTCTTTCAAAAATACCCCCAGAACCCAAATTTTCACCTATTTTCCCTCAAGTAGTTTTCAATTTCATCATCCATCAAAATTATTTCATTTTCACTCTAAAATAAAATTTAAAAAAATTAAAAAATTGCATTTAGATAAATTTAATTTACATTAAATTTAAACTTGGGCATTATAACTCTCCCTCTTTAAAGAAAATTTGATCTCTTAAATTTGTCTCTCTCGCTCTCAATCAAACATCTGGGGGTATTTAGCTCTGAAGTCTGATTCTAGCTCCCATGTGGCCTCTCTCAGTGTGTGATTCTGCCATAATACCTTAACAAGGAGACTTTTCCAGTTTTGGAGTAATTTGCTCTTTTGGTCCACAATGTCGACTAATACTTCTTCATAGAACAGCTCATCCTAGAGTAAAAGAGGCTCGTGGGCCAACACGTAAAAGGGGTCCGGGTTGTACTTGCGTAGCATGGACACATGAAACACATTATGAACCCTGGAAAGTTCTGGACGCAGTGCCAGTCTATAGGCGGTAGTACCAATTCTGTCTAAGATTTTGAATGATCCAATAAATCGGGGATTCAATTTTCCTTTCTTGCCGAACTTACTGATTTTCTTTAAAGGAGTGACTTTAAGGAACACCCGATCGTCTTTTTCAAATTACAAATCTCTCTTCCGGGTGTCCATATAACTTTTCTGCCTGCTCTGAACCGTCTGAATGTTCTTCCTGATCTTAACTATTTTGGATGTACTCTCTTCTACCAGATCTAGGCCGAATAGCTTTCTATCACCTACTTTTTCCTAACAAATCTGTGATCTGCATGAGTGCCCATATAACGTCTCATACGGAGCCATGCCAATACGTGCTTAGTAGTTGTTGTTGTAGACGAACTCTATCAGGGGTAGATGGTCATCCCAATGGCCCCCGAAATAAAAAACATAAGCTTGGAGCATATCCTCAGGTGTACAGATTGTCCTTTCTAATTATTCATCAGTCTGAGGGTGGAATGCAGTACTAAGGGACAGTTTCATTTCCATGGCTTGCTGAAGACTAGACCAAAACTGAGAAGTGAAACTGGGGTCCCTGTCGAATACTACTGTCACTGGCACTCCGTGTAATCTGACTACTTCCCGAATATACATTCTTACCAACTTGTCCAAGCAATCGGTCATCCTAATGGTCAAGAAGTAAAAAGGCTTGGTAAGCCAGTCAAGAATTACCCAGATGACATCATATCCTGAGTGTGCCTTAGATAATCATGTCACGAAGTCCATGGTGATATGTTCCCACTTCCACTCCGGGATTGGTAATGGCTGAAATAACCCACTTGGGCATTGATGCTCTGCCTTGACCTGCTAACATACCAAAGATTTAGAAACAAAATCAGCTATATCTCTTTTCATCCCGTTCCATCAAAATCAGGGTCACATACTTTGGAACATTTTAGTACTTTCGGGATGCATGATAAATTTTGAGCTATAGGCCTCTGTCATAATGTCCATTTTTAACTTACTGTCAACTGAAATACACATTATGTTCTGAAATCTGAGCAACCCATCAGCGTAGATTCAAAATTCTGAGTTAACTCCCTGTTATGTATCTTTCTTGAGGGCTACTAGGGTGGAATCAGCGGACTGAGCTTCCTTTATTCTCTGGATTAACTCAGGCTGAATAGTTAGGTGGCCCAAATATGAAACTTTCTTCAGGTCCTAAAGATGTACCTGTTGTGTGGCCCCTATCTGCCTACATTATGAAACCATCAAATAGGCTAATGTACCTGCACTTTTCCTGCTGAGTGCGTCGGCTACCACGTTGCCCTTACTAGGGTGATACAAGATATTGCAATCATAGTCCTTGATAAGTTCTATCCACATTCTCTGATGTATGTTGAGATCCTTTTGAGTGAATATGTGTTTCAAACTCTTGTGATCGGTATAGATCTAAAAGGTCTCCCCATACAAATAACGACACCAAGTCTTCAAGGCGTGTATGATTGCGGCAAGCTCTAAGTCTTGGGTGGGATAGCTTTTCTCATGACTCTTCAACTGTTTGGACCCATAGGCTATGACATTCCCATGCTACATTAAAACACAACCCAAACCTAGGTGGGAGGCATTTCATTTCATTCATTTACTTAATCACACAATTTTTACCGTTGAACCTTCATTTTTCTCAATTCAGTCATAAGCTTATAGAATAAATCATACATGCATTCAAAGCCATAAAATAAATTAATAAGATACCATCATGCTTATAAACTGTAAAAACAATCAACAAACAACAGTAAAAAATTTCTAGTTCTAGCTCCATTAACAATCTGTAATTAATTATGCACATTTTCTAAATTCGCAAAAAATAGTAGATTATTATTTATTTAGACTTCAATTATATGATAGGGAATAGAGTGAGGGATCTTTATTCGATTTGATGCCTGAAAAGCTAAACTGTTCGATTGTGTATACGGGCGATTCTCGGGTTCCCTGAATTTTTTTTTTGGGAATTAAAACGTGCTAATAGTACCTACAAATATCCCAAATAGACATAAAATCAGTCTCAGGGCCCACTTGGTCAATTTCAAAATTCTAGCACAGCGACAGTCCACCTCTGGTCGGCTGTTTTCGGTCGAATTTGGCCGACTTTGCATCAATCCCTGCGAGAAAATACGTTAAGGAGCCTCGGTTGTCTGAAAAAATACAAAAATCGAAACTTACTAGCGACGAGGCACTCCGGTGCAACGGCTTCTCCAGCTCACGCTGCGGTTGGGTGTTTTGCTCCGGTCAACCTGTAGAGAAGAACACGGTGATCACAACGATAGAAAAATTACACATAACGGGAATTGGAAAAGGCCTCATCGGAGGCATTTTGTGAAATTTCTGCGGCGGTGCTGCCGGGTTTCGCCTGCGTTTTTCGGTCAATATGCGAGTCCTTTTACTCCGATTTGGCCATGGGTGTGTTTAGAATTGAATTTCGAGTAAAAAATTTTTTTTTTTACCTTTTTTGGTGGTCAGAAAGGGCTCCGGTGCTGCGGTGGGTGGCGGCGGTCTCCTTCCCGGTGGCCTGGTCTTCTTCTCCAGCGAGGGGGTCTGGCAGCTAGGGTTAGGGTTTGGTGTGGATGAGAGTTATTTATATCCGTCCGCTTTTAATCTGGGCCATCCATCGCGTTTGATATGGACCGTCGGATTGCGATTAAATAGGAAGTGAATCTGGGCCGTTTATCGTGATCCAATCTGCACCATCCATCGCGATTTAATCTGGACCGTCTGATCACGTTCAAATCTGATTGTTTGATCGCGTTTGGGAAGAAAATGCATCTGGACCATCCGTCCGTGCGCGTGGGAACGAATTTGGGTCGTTCGATTGCGGGCACGCGAATCGCTCGTGTGGTACTACGTCAGCATTCGCTGCCACGAGGCACGTCCTGATTCATCGGGCTTGCTGACCGGGCATCTGACGTAGCAAAACTTCCATAAATTATATTTTGATCCTCAGTTTCTGATTTTTTTTTTCAAACATATCCCCAGAATCCAAAATTTCACCCAACCCATTTTTCCTGAAATTATTTTCAATTTCATCATCCATCAAAATTATTTCATTTTCACTCCAAAATAAAAATAAAAAAATAAAAAAACTACATTTAAATAAATTTAATTTACATTAAATTTAAACTTAAGCATTACAATCAATTGAATATTTATATAGTTATGGCCATAATAACTAGCTCTTTTGACAAAAATATAGTATATATACACACACATGTATGGTTATGATAATTTGAAGTAAGGTAGAATTTAGCTTTTTGGAGGATAATGATGTAAAAGTTGAGAGATAAATCACTAGTTATGCTACTCTCTATAACCGTACATGAGAATTTCAATCTTTATTTTATTATTTTGATGTCATTAGATCTTTTTCCTTCTTTTAGAATCTCTTTCCTTCTTCTACTCGGTCTTGAAGAGCAACCAATATGGATATGTCCCATACTAATTGAGTTGTGAACTCTTGTGACTATGCCACTAGCTCTGTTTGTAATAATATTTGAATTGTGTATCTTTTTTGCAAATATAAAATATTATACAGGAACCAAATATAAATCACTTTGTTCAAGATGAAGTAGCTTATAAGAATTCAAGTTCAGATCAAATTCTTGATGTTCACACAAATTTATTAAAATATTTTAATATTTACGAGAGAAATTATGTCAAAGTCTTTTAGTTATATTTTATGAGGACGTAATTTTGTATCGCCGTTTACGTGTATTTTTGTTTTTTCGTTATAAAATTAATTATTTACTTTTGGTATATAAATATTATATAATTATTGAAATGTATTAATTTTTATTTAAAAATAATAAATAAAAATTTTTATTAAATAAAAATAAAAATAGCATATAAACTCAAATTAGTTAATTAATTAATCTCTCTCTTCAATAATTTCTTTCAAAAATACAATATAATACTCCTATCGTAGGTGTTGCATTACCCTTTTTTTCGGTTATAATTAATTAATTATTTTTATATTATTTGAATATAAAAAGTAAGGCATGGAGCGACCAATAAATTAAATAATTTAGTTGGATCTATAGTCTATATATATATATATATATGTATTTTTTTATATTATAAATTTATAGTTTTATTAATTAAATAATGCATATAAACAAATATTAAAATAAAAGCAAAGCATAAAAACATAACTCAATGCAAATTCAAATCCAAAACCTCCAAGACATAATCAGTTCATATAACATATATGCTATGGTAATGTCAAACATATTTATTACATATTCTGAGCAGAAATATATGATGTAAAACTATATGTATATATATATATATATATAGTTCTTGTTAATTAATTAAAGAGTTACTCAACCTCTGCAACGGAGATAAGATCAGTAGGGCCCACTTTCTTCCTTAAACCGGAGGTCAACTTAGCAGCGTCAATTCCATCTCCGATTACTACCATTTTTGTCTTTCTCCTCCCCTCTCAATGCTACAGATTTCACTCCTGCGATTATTTACATATTATTCATCTTCTCCTTTCAATATTTACTTAGTCTATATAAAATATTCTTCTTTAAAAAATCCATGTATGATATGACATAATATACGCAAGTATGTATATATACATATATATATATATGTATACACATACATATGCATTAATGCATGTACTTAACTGTGTTACATCAATATTATAATATATAATTAATTAATCTTCACTTGGGTAGTTGGTAGATGAATTTTTATAAAAAAATTGTGATATCGAATTCAACTTTATAATACCGTGTGCTCATTGAATGTATTAGTTAATGTATGAAATATATAAATTTATACAAAAAACTGCTATAGCAATACATACATATGCATATACATATATATTTATATATAATAATAATAACTAATTACCCAGTGTTTCAACGACCACCCGTAGCGCCTTAGCCCGGCATTTCTGGCACTTCATTTTCACCTTCAAGACAATCTTCTGGCAGGTCATCGTCACCTTCTTCACAGTCTTCTGCTCATATATGTGAATATCTACTTTAATATCACTACTAATAAACATGTAATATATATAAAATATTAAATAACATGTACTTCATTTTCTTGAATGTACTTGTATATATTACGCGTGTAAAAGAAGAAGTACCATTATGCTCATCACAACGACAGGGATCGCGTTTCGCCTGGTGAATTTACAGAATCCTGGATGAAGAGCTTGCCGGGTATTTCTAATACAGCAAATTTCTCTGGTTGGACTATCATCGCTTCTCCCTACTGGCTTCAACCGAGCCATAGGTTGATGACTCTGCCCTGCTGATTCCTGCAATGGCCCCAACCTGGGCATTTTGTTTGGCTTTGCCAAATCAAACCAGAAAATCAACCTTCTTGCTCCTGCTGAGAGACCATGTGTACATATATATTGATGGCAACCAAGTCTGTGTGAAAAGTTGACTTTAACACGCTTGGTTTCGTGTCAATCATGAGCATATACATATATATATATATATATAATAAAATGTCGATCACATGGGAGATGCGACCCAAGGCAGAAAATATTCTATCGCACCATAAATGCATGTTTTTGAATAATTGAATAAATTTTTAATATCTTTAGTTTTGAAATTGTTATTTCTAAATTTTGCATGTCATAGTAAAATTCTTCAGTTATTGAGCATATTGCAGAAAAAAACTGCACTTTGAGGTAAATTACTTGAAAATTTTACCAAATAATTTGAAAAAAAATTTAAACGTACATAATTCAGACGATCAACAATTTCTGAGAATAAGAAGCAAACATTTTAGTGTATGTTTGTTTAGGTTCTGCTTCTGTTTTTACTATCAAATATTAAAATGTTGAGGAAAATAAATTTTTATTCAATGAAATTGAATTCTCATATTAAATTTTTAGTGTATGATTCTGTTTTTACTATCAAATACTAGAACGAGAGTATTTTTACGTAAACACAAAAACTACAAAATCAAAAAATAATAATAGATGTTTTTTAAAAAATAAATTATCTTGTGTAATACTTGGGTCCGAAATTTAGTCTGGGATCAATTTTGGTATCTTAAAAATAAATAAAAAAATTAATTATAAATTAATTTATATTCAATTTTATTAAATTATTAAAAAAAATAGGCAGGGATATAATTGAAAACAATTTTGAGAAAAATAGGTAAAAATTTAAGTTCATAGAGTATTTTTGAAAGAAAAATTAAAAATAAAGAATTAAAGTGCAAATAGAAAAAGTTCTGCCACACAGGACCACCCAGTAAGCAGCCCTGATGAACGGGAGCACACTGTGTGGCAATGCACGCTAACATTGGTGCCATGCGGGAGGCCACGCGGGCGATCCGCATGTCCCACGATCAGACGGTCCAAGATCGATTCCGTGCGTGTGGACGGTTCAGATTCGTTTCCTCCTTATCCGTAATCGGACGGTCGAGATCAAATCGTGGTGGATGATCCATATTTGTTTTCTCTTTAGGTGCGATCGGACGAATGAGATAAATCGCGATGAATGGTGCAGATCAACGTGAGATGGGTATAAATACTTCACGTCGCATAGGAGCCCAAACCCTAGCCGTCAGCCCTC